AGAGAGAGAGAGAGAGAGAGAGAGAGAGAGAGAGAGAGAGAGAGAGAGAGAGAGAGAGAGAGAGAGAGAGAGAGAGATATATATATATGCTGCTAGTAGGGTGGAAAGGAATCGGGGATGAAAGGAGGGTGGCAACGGGTGCCAATGAAACTATAGAGCACACTACACTGTCAAACAATAACCAAGTTTATAAGCTACAAAGAATGTGCTGAATGAGCTGCCAAATTGTTGACATGATTACAATGTGGTCACGCTTCCCAGGTCAAATCATAGGCAATGTAAATGTTCTGCACTCAATGTGTCAACAATTTATTTGTTAATATTTAACAAAGTAAACATTAGCACCAACACCAACCAAATGATTTGGCACAGAACCATTAGTCCGTTGATCAAGTAATCTCTGGTAGGACCATCGAACACAACTTATTCGGGTAGCTAAAAAGGTCATTTTCCGCCTCATTGACGCACGGACTCCACTTCCACGCCGCTGCTTTGTACGCGATCACCAACAGACATTTAGAAACGGGAAAATATGTCGAATCCATAAAACGCGCACGCGCGCGAGGCTATGAAAAGAAAACAAAAATGTTTCAACGCGGGAGAAAACAGCAAATGTTAAGCGTGTTAAGATCCACGCAACCGGTGGCCGGTGGGGCGCGGTGGGGACCTGGGGACCTGCCTGGTACGTCGGCAGTGTCGTTTTCCACGGACACTGTTAACTGAACTCTCTCACACCTGCGTGACTTCAACAACCGGATTTAGTTCAGGGCAGTTCCGGATAGGGCCAGCCCATATTTATTTTGGACTTATCTTAGACTCCGGTTTAGCTTCTCTTTGCGGACTTGCGTTTGTTCTGATCACCGCCTGAATTACGAAATCCTCTCCTGTGCGAGTAGTAGATTATTTTCTAACAAAGTAGTCGGGTCATCTCGGATGGCAGCAGGATGTTGCGCTCCGGACCAGACTGCGCCAACTGATCACTATCGCCGCCAGAAGCGCCTGCCACGCCACGCCAGACCACGCGCGGATCTCTTTTTGCCTGTCTGGGACATCTCTCGCGGGGCATCTCAATGGCGGCGGGGCGCCTGCGCCGCGCAGTTACTGCGAGCGCCTTGCGAGATAGGCAGCCCGCCCAACGGCAGTGCGTATAGCCGACGCATAATCCCCGGGTGGCTTCAGGACACCGGGGCCTACACGATCGCTTACTTTTATATTCGTACAATGCTGCTTACGGTAAAGTTTCGAAGACGATTCGCAAGGGTCAGTAGTTAAAGAAAAATTAAAGTCAATAATGACATACGCGATAAAAGTTTTAAAAATTGCCTCGCATAATTTGAGACTCCAAGATTGGATTTTGAAACAGAGCAAGCTAAGCACAGTCGAGAATAATCGGTTAGCGCGAGGGCAGCAGCGTCGGCCTGGCCTGATGCGTACGGACCGTGGCGAAGCCAACATGACAGAGGGCCACCATGACGCCCAGCGGCTGCTCGTGGCCGCTCGTGGCCGCTCATGACTTGCTGCTGCAGGGCGGTCGCTTTGCATTCGGCCACGGCGTCCCAGCAGCGTATCGCTGCACTATATGAGCGATACGTTAGTCGGGCTCGCCCCTAGCTCCCTCGGGCTCCTGATATCGACGTGGGTGTCCTCGCCACGCCCGCTACCCCACCACGCCCCGCCTTATTCTGTGTGTGGCGTGCGTTTCTCGCTGCAAGTGTTGTCTGGGGCGACTTCTGCCTGGTGGTGACGTTGCGGCTTATTAGTGCAACCACGTGTATCTTTACCCCGGGCGCTCTCCCCCTCCATCCCCCCCCTCTCTCTCCCCGCACCCACTGCCGCCCTTCCCACCCTCGCTCGCTTTCCCCTCACCCGGCATTCTCTGTACTTCCAACCCCTTGCTGCCAACGCCATTCCCGCACATTACACTCTTCGGTGGAGGATATGGGTATGGAGGGAGAGAGGAGACGGAGAGACAGGGGGGAAAGGCGATGGAGAGAGAGAGAAGGGAGAGGGGAGAGAAATAGACTATGAGTATTTTGACTTCTAGGGAGGGGGGATTACTTCAGATCGACAAATTGCGATGCGACCGCTACACCCCACTGAGATAATGACAATTCTTGGTACGGGAGGCTATTGGCTAACGGAATGGGGGTCTCGGTAAACTATCACGGAGACGAGACTGCGGGCCGACGTTCTTTCTCACTCTCACCCCAGTGGTGCGCGACCCCGCAGCGTATAAGGCGCGTTCTATAGGCAAGCGCCCCTTGAGACTTGCAGCAGCCATCCGTCGCCGACACACCAATGTATGACAACCTGTGGGAACGCCAACCCCGGCGTGCCGCTTTAGGAGAGCAGTCGCGAGCTGTCAGCTTGGCGGATGAGCTGAGGAGAGCTGAGCGCCGCACTCGGCGACATGTTACAGGGCGCGTTAGCTGCCACTCTGCAAAACCACCTGGACCAAAACATTAGTTGCTTTACAGACTATCAGTTTACTTTGCGGAAAAAGATGGTCGCGGGCCCCTATTAAAAAACAAACTCGCTGTACACGAGAAAATAAAATAACCGCGAGATACTTGCGAATATTTGCGACAACTCGCGAAATAAATTGAAAAGTAGTTGCTACTACTTCCAAGTACTTAACCGTACTCTACGCTTGAAGAGTGGGGGACCCTCTGTGGCCTCTGTGGCCTTCTTCTACTTCAACGAGGGTTGATCACCAAGAAAAACGATCGTTGGGATAAGCAGCATGCGGCTACATGTCCTGGACTGACACCAAGATTTGGCTCCCTCAACTTTTGCCACGAAAACACGACTTGCTAACGACGAAAAAAGTGAAAGAAACGATTTGAACTGTCAAACTTAGTGAAGTGCTCCTCCTCCGGTGGCGACATATTTGGGTTAAGGCCGCGGCGGTCGGGAGGGGTCAGGCCTCGTTACGCTCAGGTGTCGATGGAGACAATGGACGCAAGCGATCCGCTATGAAAGCCCCCGGTAGCCGGCACGCCCCGCCGCGCCCCGCCGAGCTCGGCAACAATAATTAGTTAATGAGTTTCGCTCCCGTTGAGAGAACATTTCATAAGGGGTTAGTAAGCGGCCGTGCCGATGGGCTGTCTACGGCGAGGCGACGCGGTTCCGAACGCCACCGCCGGCCGGCCAGAGGTCACGAATCCATTAGGCTACCTCAGCGAGCGTGATGCGGCAAGGCGGGGCGCGGCGAGGCGCGGCGGGGCGGGGCGGCGGGCGCGCCGTGGGGTGTCCAGTACGTCCAGGTCGGGGCGGAGGCCGCGGGAGCGCCGGCATATGGAAACGGAGCATGATATGGGTATGGACAGCGACATGTTGTGCAAAAAATATGAATAAATTTGCATTTAATGGCGTTGCAGTTCTCAAAAGGTTTGTTAGGAAACGCAAGCATGTGCCATCGTCCTGTTTGTCTCATTTAATAGCACATTCTTGCTTTAGAAAAATTACGAAAAATTACAATTTGTTAATGTTTTATGCTTTCCATTCCATATTCCATAGGAAAGAAGGTGATATTATTTGTTGCCAATACACTTCCCACTATGGTGGAAGTGGCCCACCTTGAAATTGAACCACCAAAAATGTCAGCTTTGAGCGAGTCTCCTTGCATTTCTTTTTTTTTTTTTGTCAGTGTGAGCGCCACACGCCGCTCTCGACCACACATAGGGCCTCACTAACTTCGATTACAGAGCAGCCGAAAAGAGGTTGAGCCCATCACGGAATTAGGCAACACGGTTTGATCCACATGGTCCGGGCGGGGCCGAGCCAACGAGCCCACAGAGATGAGCACTTACTTAATACGGGCCCAGCGGCCGGCCAATCAGGGTGACCACACCGGGCGATCCAACCATCAACCATCGTTTACTTTCGTCGTCCACGGCGAGCTGCTCAGCGGCCCGCTTCAAGAAGGCGACCACACGGGGACCTCTCTCTCTCCCTCTCACCGTCCCGCTCCCGCTGCTCGGGTGATCCAAATAATCGTTCCATCTCGTGTAGGCCTTGTGCAAGCAAGGAGCTCAGCTCTGGGTCGGTAGCGCCGCAATACACAGTGTTGTTATTGTAATCTAGAGACCCCCACACAAACACACACACACACACACACATTCCTAGCTGATCTGCTGAAGCGGGCACCACCGCCGGGCACACAGAGTGTACGTACGTGCGGCCGATGCAGTTCAGACGGACAGCAGTCATTTCGACACGATGCCTTTCTACTCAACTTCTACTCACCTCATTTTCGATTGCCCACCCAAATGGTACTAACAGCTTCCTAACGAGGTTTTAAATACAAAATTAATCCACCAAAAGGAAAGAATTATTTTTGAAAACTTTGAAACGATTTTAACATATCATAGATGAAGTTTTCCACTTTCTGACTGAAAAAAATACAATCTTCTGAATTGCATGATCTTTCTATACAGGTAGAAGAGAGAGAAGGTCGCACACTACTTAATATTGCATCTCCAACAATGACCCAACACGGTCGCACTGGTCTCCGCGTACCGCGCCAAGCCTCCGCGCCAGGCCCGACCGCCACCTCCGTACGTCGGTGCTGGACGGCTCTGCCTCGGCCCTGCCAGCCCGCGGCGTGGCGGGGCGTGGCGCGCTGGGTGGTCCAGATAGCCGCGAGGGATGCAGCGCCACACCGCAGCAGAGCAGGAGGGGCAGAAGGGTGGCTAAGGTCCGCGCTAAAGCGGCACGCCCATCTACGGGGACGAGCTCCTTCTGAACGCGTCAACACCTGACGTTCAATCTAC